ACTTGTAATTTAGGGACGGAGGGAGTGTGTACTTTAGGGATTAAAACTGATGGGGTGCAAACATATATGATCCTTGTCTCTTTGGCCTAAATCATGTACATACCCTAAAAATCATGTCATAATATAGATCAAAGAATAAGCAACATCTTATCCATTCAAATATACTAGAAGTCTAGAGCCACTAGTACACGATCTAGTTGATCATGATAAAATAGCTTCTCAATCTCAACCACTAATCTGCTAGCTAAAAAATAACACTAATAAATATTGCCTATAATTGCTCATTTGTCTAATTAATGTCGCAAATCTGCTGACAAAATATGTTATGATCTATATTATTCAGCCAACAATTGTTTCACAGAAAGCAACAAAGATTAATAACAGTTATAACACCCTAAAACGTGCACCCTACCATCAATAATCTCTTATACCCAATATCAGAACAACGCAGACATACTAACAGTCTAACATCATCTCTTGAGATTGTGCCAGCCTAAACTATGAAATTTTTTTATGCCCTAATAAAAAATCACGAACGAAGTATATGCTTCATTGGGTGAGGTTGATAGTGTATGACCACTTAACTAATTTGTTGATTATCTAGGCCTTATTTTTTGCTACTCCTTACTTGCTTGTCAATTGTACATACCTACTAATATTTTCTATATTTGACTAACATATCTGTCACCGTATAATTTTGAAAGAGTATATAAAAATCGATCATGGGTTTCAATCATCAGTTTAAGATTTAATTGATTTTATCCTTTTTTAACGTGGTATTAGAGTCCAGGTTGGTTAAGTTGATTTGAGTTGGAAGGAAGAGTATTGAGCCTATGAACAAACTCACATATGAGCTGAGTGGAAGTATGGACGTATGGTCACACATTAAGCGATCGAGTATGAAAGTAAGAGTGAGTTTTGAGATGTGTATCCCACATTGATGAGAAGAGAAAATTGTATCCGCTTTATAATGCTAAGGAGCAACTCCTTATCTTCATTGACATGTTGTTTGATGTAGAACATCCTTTAATAGATAAAGTGGACACTCGTAACTATAAGCCTAAGGCCTTTTTATTAAATTTTGACCTTAAATATATGCAAGTTTGTATCATTAAAACTGACATTTGCAAAACACCAACTTTCATATATGGTTGATCTGATCATGTACGCCGTGTGACCTAACTTTGTTAGTGTTATACGGATTACTTGGTGACATGATCAGTATTATAATGGTTACTTGGTGACATGATCAGTATTATAATGGTTACTTATTTAGTATTTATTTCATATAAATAGTTTAAACTGAAATTGGTACAATCATTTGATAATAGATGGAGTACAATTATTCCTAATAACTTACATACAAACTATATGCACAACTTTAAAGTAATACTTCGAATTAATGATAATCAAAGGGGAAGCACCAAGAGCATCTGATGACATAATACTTGGTAATACTTCCTAGTAGAAAAATTCTAAATCTCTGACATGACCTTAAAAGGGGAATCAGATTCGAAAATTACAAGCACATTGTGATTTGAGAAAGACCTAATATTTATCCATGTTGATGCCACGAAACATTAAACTATATTTTGTATGACAGTTATGATTTTGGCGTAATTTCTATGCTCTAATTTAACACCTGTATTTTAATAATCCCATATTTCCCTTTGTTTTAGCTTAATTTTTCTAATTTTGTACTAGTTGCCTTTTCTTTTCGGATTGACCCAATATTTTTAAAAAAAATAATTAAAAAAATAAAAAAAAATAAATGAAGAGAAAAAAAGTTGCATCATAGGAAGCTGGTAGCTTGGATTCTTCAAGATACGCGCATTTGAAATCGTAAGCAAAGCTGGAGTTGTGGTATAAGATGACACATAATGACCATTTCCATGCATACATGCAGTTGTAAATCTTTTTACCTCTTAATTAATTTCGTTGTTAATCTTTCGTTTTTATAAATGTCTATGTATTTTGATTTAATCATCTTAAAACGGTTATTTGTGTACGGATTATAATTTGGTGTACTAGGTGAGCACAGTTAAAACCAATTTCTGTTATTCATTTGGCCATTTAGGCATGCCTAGAAATTAAATAAGTGCACGATATACACTAAGAAATTTAGTTTTGCTCATTTGTTCATGTTCAGGTATAATTAGTTCGGGCAAGTTTGGTAAGAGGTAGTATAAGTGTATTGTACTTGTCACTCTTAATAAGCATGGGTGTTTTAAAAAAAACCTAGGGTTATGTTGTTTTCACCTTAGTTTAACTAATATCGGGAAAATTAAGTTCAAAGAAACTTATCAAGGCTAATAATTTAACATTAGCTAAGTTCAATAAGTCAATATGATCAAATGAGTTAAGTTTGGGGATAATAAGGGCTACTTTAATCCAATTTAATACACCAATATGGATATCGAGAATGCTCCATGAACGTAGAGGAGTCAAATTAATTTGACCCGATTAAATCTAACCTAATCTAAAAGTGACCCGATTTAGATTTCACCTTGCAAAATTAATAACTGATAAAACTAAGCTAGACTCCACTTAGTTTTTTGAATTGACTGACACATTTACTTTAAAGTTCATATAAGCAAGAATCAAGAAATTAAACACAACTTGAACCGGCAAGAGAATTGAAAATGTGAAACTCAAAGGTGATAAAATACAAGAAGAGCACTCTGTGCTAGATAGTTTAAACAATCATACATATAACCTTGCCAAAAAAAAAAAAAAAAAAAAAAAAAACATAAATACTGCGTATAAATAAATTCTAGATGTACTGTAAATCAAAAATGACATGTTAAATTAATTAACTGCCAATAAAACATTTAAAATATGGTCCACCTGAGCATTAATTATCCCGGAAGTAAACGTCTATTGGTAAGGGAGATTAATGAGGTTTACCAACCAATTCATAAGCATTTTGAAGTCTGATTATTTTTGTACTATAAACTACACATGATTAATACTCACCAATTATTTGGGCTTCTATTTTTACTATGGATAATATGAAAGACCTATAATTTTATGAAATATAAGTAATATACTACGTATATAGTAATAAATTAAAAACAATTATTGATAGTAGGAGTAACTCCTGTCTTTTCTGTTTCTCTTATACTTCGTATACGACACTCACAAGTGAGTTTATATTGAGTTTTAATATAAATGTTTTACAACGCATAACATCGAAGACTAGTGATTAAATGATATGATATTCCTCTAGCCTTCTACAGTTCTATTAGTAGTAAACATACTAAACATGTATGGTAAATTGACAATTGGATTAATTCACCCTTTTCTAACCAATTAATTTAACTTTAAATATTTTCATGTATTTACCCAAAACATCACTACTACATTTTAGACCTAATACAACGGATTTTTTCGTTGTATTAGGTGTTAAAAACCGTTGTATTAGACCTAATACAACGGCTAGCAACCGTCAATTTGCTAGGGTTGGATTAGGTCTAATACAACGTTAAAATGGATTAGGTTCCTTCTTTTTTTTTGGAAATAACTGAACCTAATACAACGGAACGGATTGCTCCCCAATCCGTTGTATTAGGTCTTTCTATCCGTTGTATTAGGTCTTTTTTCTTTTTATTATTATTATTATTAGCAGCATTATTATTATCAGCATTATTATTATCATTATTATTATATTGTCCAAGTCCAGATTGTCCAAAAGTGTCCAAATTGTCCAAGTCCAGAACAGATGTCTTCTTAGTTTGCATCTTAATTTTGGTATTGTATCTCTATCACATTTTCTAAGATAAGAAAATCTGAAAAAAGAAGATCTGAAAAATTAAAAAAACGAAAAATTGAAAATCTGAAAAAATCTGAAAAAATTGAAAATCTGAAAAAAGAAGATCTGAAAAATTAAAAAACCGAAAAACGAAAAATTGAAAAACGTACCGAAAAACAAAAAATTGAAAAACGAAAAACGAACGAAAAATAAAAAAAAGATCTGAAAATTTGAAAAACAAAGATCTAAAAACGAAACAAAAATAAAAAAACGCAGATCTGGAAATCAAAAAACGAATACGAAAATACCAAATCAAGAATTCGAAAAAACCAAAAAACGAAAACTAGAAAAACAAAAACAAGAAAACGAATGAAACCCAGATTTAAAAAAAAAAACCCCTAAAAAAACGAAAAAAAAAACCCATAAATACGGAAAAAAAAACCCCAAAAAAATCAAGAATTCGAAAAAACCAACCAAAAAATCCTGAAACGAAAAACAAACCCAAAAAAGAAAAAAAAACCAGAAACAAAAAAAAGCCAGAAACGATAAAACACCCAGAACGAAAACAAAACCCAAAAAAACAAAAAAAAACCCAAAAAACGAAAAACAAGATCTGAAAAACGGAAAAAAAAAAAAGATCTGAAAAACAAAAATACCTAGAATGAACGGCAACGATGGTGAGATAAGCAATCGGCGTTGAGGCTTAAAGAAAGGCAAAGAATGAGAGTGAGGAGAGAGATGAAATGAGAAAAGAGACAAGAGAGTGAGAGAGAGGATTGAGAGAGTGAGGAAAGAGACGGAGAGAATGAAAGGATGGAGAGAGACGGAGTGACAAAAAAATGAGAGTAAGGAGAGAGAAAGAAGAGAGACGGAGTGAACGAGGAGATAATGAGAGTTTAAAGGGTTTAGGCCCAAATTCATTAAAAGGCCCTCCCGATTTTTTTTTTTTTTTTTTTTTTTTTTTTTTTTTTTTTTTTTTTTTTTTTTTTTCCACTAATCCGTTGTATTAGACTAGGTTTAATACAACGGATTTTTATATCTAATACAACGGTTAGTTGTATTAGATCTGTTTTAGTATAAACCGTTGTATTAGCCTAATCTAATACAACGGTATAAAATTAGCCGTTGTATTAGCTAATTTTGTACTGTTGTATTAGATTAAAAATGTAGTAGTGCATGGAGCAATAGAACAAAAGGTTGGTATACAATATACATGATGTATTATTGAGTTATTTGTAATTGTAAATACAAGTATAATATTTTGTGCTCCGTTGGAAAACATCAATGTCAAAAAAATATTAATATCAAAAAATACCAATAGTATATTTTAAACAGCTGGAATATTTTATGTTTTGACTGATTTCTTAATTTCCACCTTCAAATTTTCCAATGTCCTGACTGACTTCCATTTTGAGAATCATGCTTCTCCACCTCCCTTTCTAATCCTTCTTCAACCAATCTCTCTCCTTTTTCTCTCCCCCTTAACACCTAGAGAAGAACACCCGAAAAACACACCCTTTTCCTCTGTCTGTCTCGGGTCGGGTCATCTTTTGACAGCTCTATTATTGCACACTGATGCATCAAAGTTTAAGAATCAGAAGAAAAGACAAAGAAAGAAGAAAAGAATTATAGGAGGAATTTCTTGGTGGTATACTTCTAGCCCTTCCGCCTTTTTCGAAAAGGTAATCCGGGTTTTTATCTATTATCTGCAAATTCCGTCTGCATCACTGCCATATGAATAATCAATATACCAAATAAAAAAACCAAAGTGTTAGCTACGAAATCGCGTTTTCATCACTACCCTATGACTTTCTATACACCCAGAAAAAAAAAATGAACTATTAATTGCTCTGTTTTTTTAGGTCTACTTTTGATCTCGCTTGAAATGTGTTTGTACAGAATAAAAGTAGAATGATACCAAACCCATTTTAGAAGGGAATTATATGAATTAATTGCAGTTCATTTTAGGAAACTTCTATAACACTAATTTACCTTTTTAATTGATATGTTTAAACTATTAGAATTTGCTCTGTTTCTAAAGCATATAATCTTGCTCTGTTTTTTCAGGCAAAAAAGGAGCTCTTTTCTTGGTTTGTTTGTTTGTTCTTCGACATATCTTCAAAGTCTTTCAGCAATGACGACCAAGATTAAAGGGATGTGCAAAGGGTCATTCAAATACATCTCAAATATATTTGGTAATTTTATACTCCCTTGTCTAATCACCCTCGCCCTAAAACAAATTGTCACGTTGATACTGTAATTTAAATTAATAATGTGAAAATTAAATTCGGTTCGAGGGTTCTTTCTATTTTCATATTGAATAATTTTTAGAAGTTATTTGAGCTAAATAATTTATGTGATCAATTGTTTGATTTTGTAGTGGTCAAAGAACGTGAAATGGAAATTGGGCTTCCAACAGATGTTAAACATGTGGCTCACATTGGCTGGGACGGTCCAGAGGGTACAACTCCTAGTTGGGTACGTGTTATTTTTTATTTTATATGTTTGTGTACTTTAATTGAATACTTATAAAAAATTGGAACAATTTAATACAATATATGAATTGAAATTCAAAACTAAAGTTTGATGTATAATTATTATACAATGTAGATGAGTGAATTCGGAGGAGGCTCAGATTTGGCAGTTGGATCAATGGGTGGTAGCGTGGGTGGTTCAAGAGAGCAGACGTGGACATCTCAAGGTATATTAATTTCTATGCAATCCTCCAACCACCCTAGCCTAGATTGCATTGAATTTCTTTTTGTGACAACAATGCCGTCCATGGCCTACCGCGAGGTGGCTTGAGGATAAGGCCGATATAATCCTTGCTTTAAAAACATCTTTAGAAGATTGACCTATCGACAAATTTTTAATATTTCATTAGTCATGGCGTTTAGTTGTGGTTAAAGGTGTTGCATGATTTTAAAAGAGCGTATAAGGCTATGATCTTAGGGTTCATCGAGTATAGGCTAGTTGATAGCTCTTCCAATCGGGTTGTATGGAAAATGTCTTTCTATGTCTATTGCGAAAAGGTCACTAGTTTAGGTCTTCATCGTATCTTGCCTAATAGACTCTTTATGATTTCATTATATTATTTCTCTTTATGTTGTATTTTGTATTGATGCATGATTGTGACTAGCCATGTCTAGTGGTTGTTTCTTGTGCCGCCCGCTAGTGTGGCTTGAGTTTAGGATCAATGAAGCAAGTGCAAAATGAGTCCTTATCTACTTCACCTATAATATTGCTAACATGGCAATTTCTCCCAATAAAACTCCTCCACAATAATGATGTTCATTGAATTATTAGGACGTGCGATTTTTATCTGAATATCTATATAAAATTAAAATATTTCATATATTATATGAACTATTTTATGAACTAAGTTCATGAAAATCATGAGGGAGTGATCTACCACTTCACATGCCTTTCTTTATATCAAATATTTTGTGATATTGATGAGAGATGTTTTTCCAAGATTCGTTGCCTCTAAACGTAGACATTCGGCTTTGGCTTACATGTCACGAGATTAAATTTAGGGGACCAACTTTCTTTGTCAATGTCAAGGCCAATTTTGACTTTGTATGTTTTGGCTTGATTAGCTTTTAAGAGAGAAATAAAGATAAAACATCACTTTTTGGCTAAGCTCTCATGTTTCACTTAATAAATGATAAAATAAGACAAACCTTGACATACATGATGTATTATTGAGTTATTTATAGAGCTGTCAGTTTCTGACCCGAACCATTAAACCCGACTGTTTCGAACCGATCCGAAAAGAAACTGAACTGTTTAAAACCCGTTTTTTGGAAACCGAAAATTGACTCGACCTAATATTTTCCAAACCGAAACTGAACTAAACCGAATTTGTGCAAACTGTTACTAACCCGACCAGTTATCAAGCCAAACCGTTACAACCCGAAACTGAAAGCAACCCAAACCGATTACGTTTAAACCCAATAGTAACCCGATCCGTTTTAAACCGAAAACCGTTAAAACCCGATAAAAATCCGATAAACCTAAATCGTTCCAACCCGTAACCCGTTGTGACCGAACCGGTTATAATCCGTAACCCGTTGTGACCGAACCGTTTACGACCCGTAGCCCGTTATGACCAAACCGTTTAAAACACGTAACCCGTTATGACTGAGTCATTTACAACCTGTTACCCAATATGTTTATGATCTAATATGTTTCAACCCACTACTCGATAAACCCAACTTATTTATGACTTGACTTGATTATAACATGACTCGTTCCTACCCATTATATGACTAATTCAACTCGATAATCATCCGACTCAATTTTAACCCGATATGATTTGATTAGAAACCTGTTTCAAATTGGGTAAACTCGTTTTCAAACCAACCAAATTCAATCTAAACCAATTATAACTGAAACGATAATGGTTGGACCCGATTTCACCCGATCTATTTTGAATCGAAACCCATTTTCGAACCGACCCAGTTAAACCCAAACTGATTATGACCTGAACCAATTACGACCCGTCCTGATTAAGACCCGAACTGTTTTTAACCGAAACCCACATTAAATGGGCTAAACCCGTTTTCAAACCGACCCAGTTCAACCCAAATTGATTATGACCCGAACCGACTAGAACCCGACCCGATAAGGACCCGATCCGAATAGAAACTGCAATTAAAAAAACCAAACCGAACTGACCCGATAATTTTCAAAACCGACCCAAACCGACCCGTTTATTATTTCAATCCGTTATAAACCGACCTGTTATAACCCGAAACTGATAAACCCAACCCAAACCCGAACTGTTTAACCGAATTGACACCCCTAGTTATTTATTATTGTACATCTGTACTATATTCTTGGGTCATCATGTAGTGGATAATTTGTGGGTGCTTTAACTATATACTTGAGTCAGAACTCAAAAGTATGATGAATTGATAATAGTATATTTAGTAATTTTTTATAAAGATCGTCTATAATTACTAAAATCATCCCTTTATTTGAATAATATTTAGAAGGACGATTATCATTAATGAAATGAAATTATTATTTTTTTAGAATCCTCGTCTAGTCCCTCACCAGTTCCAAATGAGGTAATAGGAGAGAGTTTTGTTCTTTTGATAGCTTTTGTAAATATTACGGAGTATCTAGATATTTGGAGGAATATACAAATTTTAAAGTTTGTTTTCTGTTAAATAAAAGATTAATGTATGCTAATTTGTTTGGTTTAGCCACGATTAATAAGGACTTTGTATATACAAAGCCAAGAATAAGTTATGTTATACCTAAAAAACGCGATCTTTGATACCAAAATCAAGCTTTAGTTAATTAACTATGCAAGTTCATTTTATCATTTTATGTTAATATTGACTAGGTTGATTATTATGTGGTACCTTGGAAGAAACTGATACGTATTATTTTCTGGTAAGATGTTACAGATTTTGAGAGAAGTTTTGGACGACAAACATCTACTACTAATAAGTTAAGCAACTTCCCTCCTTCAAATAGTAATTCCAAGAAAGTAAGGCGGAAGAAGACTAAATCATCAAACTCATCTCCGAAATCAGGCTCAGCAAGATCCTCGCGATCATCCAAGTCTCAGTCTATGTTAGGGGAGAGTGAGGAAGGAGAAAGTAGACGCAACAGTGTGTACGTGTAGATTATGGCCAAGATTAACAAGATCGAGTTGAATGTGCATAGCAAGTTATGGTTTTTTATTTTTTTTTTTGAAAAATCTCCCTTTTGTATAATGTGATCAAACTGCACAAGATTAGAAACGGGTGGGTTTGTGGCATACTTATGAGAAAGTAGGCAGTAACATTAGTAAAAAGAAAAGAGTGCAACTGGGAGTAAGAAATTGGACAGATAAAAAAAGTGTGACAAAATTTAATTAATTAGGAAATTGGTTGGTGAAAAATTCTTTTGTCAGAAATTAATAAATACATGCAAAGTAGTATAGTTGGATGATGTAAGTGAATGACTGAATATCAGATAAAATGGTGGTTGTGAGTGAAATCCTTGTATGGAGGAAACTATATATTCTGCCAAGTTTTGAATTTTCATTTGACAGTCACAAATTTCACATGTTAATTATGCGGAGTTGATTTACAAATATACCCTGCTTTCTCTGGTAGAACTTGTGGTTTTGTAATTGTTTAATTCATTGATACAATATAGCACGAGCATAGTACTCCACTACTCCCTCCTAGGGGTGTACATAAGATACCCTGGGCCGAAAACCGGATCGGAACCAGACTGGCAATTTCAGGTTCATTTCTGGTCCACGTAAACTAGTCCAGGTCCAACTCGGTCCGATCCTGGACCGATATACATCCCGGGGTGTGCATAAAAGACCCCAGACGACTGAAAATTGGACCAGTTTGGACCGGTCAAACAGATTAAGGCCCAATACCGGTCCGCATAACCAATCCAACCAATCCAGGTCCAATCCAGTTCAGGTCATAATATAAATGGTCATGATCAAGGGACCAAACTTAGTTAACCAATGTTAAAAAAAACCATACTCTAATAGGACAATCTAATTAGAGGGACGAAGGCCACCAGGGAATCATTATAACATAAATGGTCATGATCGAGGACGCTGGACGCCCTTGGATCGAGTCTCACAGTGGGGCAAGGGAGGAAGGTTGCGACATGGTGGATCTTGACACAAGGTCCACCGTGTACATGCTCAACCAAACACATTATTAGTAACACTCGAACGACAATGTGATGTAACATTCACACGTACTTGTTAGAAAAGCATAGCTGGTCGTGACACAGTTGTAACGCTAGCATAGTTGTCCTTCACATCTATACATTTTTATGCAACATCAGTATATATGGTAACATCAATAATCTCTGTGTCAAAAAAAAAAAAAAAAAAAAAACATCAATCTCAATGTTTGAACGTGAATTAGTAATTCCAAAAGGCAGCTTTATGATTTTCGCATATATTGCGCAAGTATAAGACCAAGCATTAAAAAACTAATCATTCCAATAATCCAATGTACAATCTTTTGATGTGGATGTTGTGATTTGGGGTCAAAATCACGAGAAGCCAGCTGTTTTGTTGTCTTACGACCGCTAACTTATGATTTCTTATTCATTTATAAGAGACTACTAGTGATGCAGCCCATTAGACTAAGCATGCACTTGCCTAGTAACATGTCCAAAGATCCCAGCCCTTAGCTGCCTAGATAGCCTGCATGCAAACTTAGGGGTATCCATTCGCTTTTCGGTTTGGATTTAGTCCAAATCCAATCCGATCCAAAATAAATTTTGGTTTTTAATTTTCAATTCCAGTCCAATCCGAATTCCTTACCAAATCCAATCCGAATTATAATTTGTTTATTTGAATCCAATCCGAAAATCCTAATTAAAATACATTGCTAATTTTTTGGGCCTAATGCGATTATAAAAAAACTGCAATAATTAAAATTCTTGAAAGTATAATTGTACACGATTAATACAAATAATGAAAACATAAGGTTACATGATTAATATTAATATAATCAAACATAGTTTAACATGAGTTCAAATCCTACAGAGCGTGATTCCCTTCTTGTTAGGTCGAATTAGACTGAAATAAATTCACAAACTTGAACAGTAATCAAAATTTTTTTTTTCTAATCCACAAGAGGTCAATCAAAAAAAGATTGATTAATTAATCAAAGGTCCAACTGATCACCACGTTTGTATTGTAAATATGCAGTTACGAATAATCCAGCCAAAGTAATTGGAATTAGACCTAAGATGATTCCAAATAGAAAAACTTCAATCATTTCAATTCGTTTGAAAAAAAAAGATTTATTTATAAAATAACGATTCATATTTTTGTTTTTTTTTTAATCCAAATAAGGTCAATCCGATCCGAAAAATGCAAATTTTCAAAAAATTCAAATTAATCCAATTTAAAGTTTGGATCCGATCCGATCAAAATGATTGTTCGATTTGGAAAGGTTTAGATTTCGATTTTTATTCGAATAATGGACATCTAACCCTATGCAGACTAACCCCAAACCCCTCCTGCATTGCTACACTGTTCTTTTGTGCTCCTTCTAATGCCCTTAGGTGCAAGTGTGAGTAGAGTTTGTCTCACACTAAAAAGAAAGCAAAGGTCTTTCTGTTTATAATCCAAGCGGGCTACTCCTCCTAATGTCAATTGGTTTTAGAATGGAATCTTGTTGTGGGCTCTGTTTTGTGATGGGCTTTGTATTAAAAACTTTTGTAACTAGTAAGCTAAGGAAAAACGTATAATTGTGTCATTTCATTAGGTTCATTTTTTGGATACTGTTCTTAAAAAACAAGTTTGAATTCCTTTCTCTTTGCAAGCATTGTATCAAACTGTACATCAAATTACTAGGACCGCAAATTCAATTGATACTGGTTTTTAGTCCATACACTTGTTCAACCACGTATCCAACATCATGACACAAATCTAGAATAACTTTAGTTAGTGAAGAAAGTAAAGAATAGAAGATGCTCATCATCTCAATGGCAACCATATCTTCATAGACGGAACGTACGATTTTGGAATCGATACCTTCTGATCATCTTCGCTATCTAATATTCTTTTCTCATTGTTTTTCTACCACAATAAATTCAAATGGCCGAAAAACAAACAAACAAACAAGAACCTTATCACCAATATATAAATACGCATATAAACTAGACAGTTAACACCAATTTAATTACATATCATACTTGATTCAAAAACACATATTCAAGTGAAGGTAGTAAAAATGGGAAATGTTATGACTGAATTAGAGAGAAACTCAAAACAGCAGTCAAGTCGAGCCGAGTATCATGATGCCAAACCTACCCGACACGATCATACGCCTGCTACTCCTAAGAAGAGTCTACCTGAATCTACATGGGTTGCCATTATCAAAGATAACAATTTTATCAAATCAACTCAGCAGCAAAAAGTTAATGAGATATTGAGTAAAGGAGTGTATTGGGATAGCAGAAAAAAGGTTAGTAACGACCTATACTTCGCCTTTGTTTTTATTATTCATTTTTCGTTGTTGTGTAGAGAGAATCACATGATAGGTTACGTTAGATGCCAACATCTCAAAAGCTCTAGCATAGCTTATTCAAATAATTAATTGTAGATTTATATATTATATGTACGTACGTTGTCATAACTATTTCGTCGAGTGGTTTTTAAAAAAACTTGCATTAAAAAGTGTTTTCTTTTTTACTTCAAATTGATAAGGATTTGTTTGTACTTTCACATTAAAAAAAATGAAACTGTAAATAAAAAATGATAATAAAATGAGTCATGAGGTTATTGTTGTGATTTATATTTTTTGTTGATTTATCTTCAGAAATATTGGGTGGACGGCAATGGAAACAACTGCTTCATGATTTTTGCCAATGGTCTCAAGATTACTTGGTCTGATAACCCAAATTATTGGTACTTACAGAAAAAGAGGTAAGTATAATACGCGTACAATTTTTACCTTCTTTATTATCCCAAATTTGAGTACGTGATCATTATACATAAAGATTCAACACGGAAGTACAACAATTCCCTTGAATTAGACTAGTATGTACGTACACCATGTCAGCAGTGCAACCCTTGACTAGAAACCTTTTTTAATTTTGCAGTGAACTTGGCGACGAAAACATAACCATAGCCCAACTAAGGAATGTAGCCTGGCTAGAAGTGCATGGAAAATTTAACACAGAAGACCTCACACAAGGAGTTTGGTACGAAGTTTGGTTTATAGTGAAGCTCGAGCGCACCTCCTATGGCTGGGAAGTCCCTGTGAACTTCAAGCTCACTCTTCCCGGCGACAAGTCCCAAAATTATAAATTAAATATGAAGGACATGGACAAGGAAAAATGGTTTGAGATTCGAGCAGGAAAATTTATGATATCCAAAGATAATGAAGGAGTAATTCAGTTTTCTTTATTTGAGTATGATGGTGGGAGCTGGAAGAGAGGGCTAATCATTAAAGGTGCCGTAATTAAGCCTATGGTTGATAAAAATAATACTAATAACAACAATAATTAAGGTATATATAGATTTGTTGTGATTTAAATCTTTAATAATAATGGTTTATTTGCATGCATGATCTTGAAACAATGCTCAGCTCCCATCTATTTATATAACCTCACTAATCTTATATTGTGAGATCAGGATGGAGTTACGTTCGTTATTGTATAATTTCTCAATATTTAAGTATGGTTTTTAATTTCATTGTTATTTGCATTGCTCAATATATAATCCGTTTTTTTTAGTTCATGCAGTCGATCTTATTTATAAATGGGTTGATATTGTCTTGTTTATTTATTTTGCAATATTTTCTTGTTTGATCCTCATCAAATATTGAATTTTAGTTGATCTACCGTAGGTGTTTTGGTCCAATTTTGATCGGATTTTAGTATGTAAACATAATGACGAAAATATGGGCTGAAACCGTGTGATAGGCTTGATTAATGATCAGTTTGATCACCTCTATGTGAGAATAAATCAATTTGGTTATCAAAATAGACATGATTAAATATTTTAGATTTGAATATTAATCTTCTAAGTACTTATTTCAGATGAATAGAACAAATCATAAACGAGTACCAATATGGAATAATTAATGACTAGGAAGAGGATAGGTATAACAATGTGATCATACCTATGATAGTTGATTGAAGTGCTAATTTTGTCATACATTTTTTAAGGGTGATTTTTTTCATACGTAATCAACCAAAATTCAAGCTAGAAAAGGGGAAAAAAATCGTCTTTATTTTAGGCAACGAGAAAAAATCACAAGTTATTTGTATTCTTACGACCTAATTAGAGATGATCGATTTGAAACGAGATTTACTGACCTGGAAAATTAAAACTATGTGAACAACTCAAAACTTTTCGATTCAAATCCAACTCAAGTTGAATCAACTTTTATCCAATTATTTACTAAACCTAAAAAGTTCAACTTAATTAAGTTAGATCAACTAACACCCAACTCCAACAGCTTCAAGCCTGCAACCCTCCAAGCAAGATGAATATCCATATTAATTGTTTCAATTTCAGTTTAGCAGATTTAATTTGTGATAATGTCAATAATCTAGTTGTCTTACCAAGGAGTTGTTTAGTTGTCATCGCATGAGGGCACATCGTTGTAAGTTGTAGTGTAAAGGCTAACCAAAATCAAACACGTTAAAAGCCTAGTTATTAACAAAATATTTTTTTAGTGGTTAGAGAGCCACAAGGACAAGCGATGATAATCAATTCCAAGATCACTTGCTATCCCTTATTATCAATAATTCTTCGACTTGAAATCTAATAACAACTCTTGCAAAAAATGCTTCGTAATGGACTATTGAGTAAATAAATTAAATGATTAGAATCAGATAGCATTACTTTGTGTAGGGTGGCCCAGATGAGCCCAATAGAGTCGGGCTTAGGTTAAGCGTTACTGTAAAGATATAGCCCACCATATCATGCTAATATCCTACGTTTTACCCTTTTGTTATTATGCCTAAACTCGAGTTATTATATGACAAACAATGTATGGAGTTTGGAGTACATTTTTTTTTTCAAGGCCTTGTTTGGCAAATGGCTGTTGGCTGGTTCACTTGGCTTGTTTGACCAGCTTGAATGTTTGGCTATTTATAATGACTTATAAAATTGGTTGTTTAAGCTTGATGTTTATAAAAGTGTTTGGTAAATTAATTGTTGGTTGTTGGCTGTTTATTAGATAATTTGTGGGCCAACAAACCAAAAACCAACAAAAAAGCTACTCAAAGCAGCTTTTTTATTTTGGCTTAAAAGCCAGCTTTTTCGCTGACTAAAAAGTCAATTACCAAACACATTTTTTGGTTGTTTGACCACATAAAAAAAAGCCAAAAGCTAACCAAAAAGATATTTACCAAACATGGCCCAAATTAACTTGCATTTTGGGTGGTTTCTGTTGCACATATTTGAAATCAATATACGAGTATATATTTACTCAGAGTATATGCATGTTGCGTATTCTTTAATGCGTACACTTGGTACATGTTACTGATGTTAGTTACTCCCTCCGTTTTCAAATACCCGCTCTATTTTTCATTTACGGTCGTTGCTCTTTTTCTTATTTGGAAAGATTTTACAATATTTAATTTATTTCTCTCAAAACATAAATTATATTTTATTAATTTCATATTCTCATTCTCGCCTCCAATTCTTCAACTACTTTTGTTTTTTTACATTTTTTTTATTATTCCACCTACCCTACTATCTCCATATTTTATTATGAGTTGATGCGATTCCAAGGCATCAATATTGTTATTATAATTATTTTTATTGTTATTTTTAGTTTATTATTAGATGACCGAATTTATTAGGATATTTTTGTTAGTTTAATTCGGTTAGTATAAGATAAGCTTAACTTTAAAGATCATATTTGCAAAATATTATATTTACAAGTTAGAGTTAGTTTCCTAGTTAGATTAGAATTTGTTTTACCGATTTTTAGGCTAATTATTTAGCTTATAAATACGTGATGGTGTTAAACGAAAAGTATGATTGATTGATTTGAAATTTATAAAGTTTTACGTAAGCTTGTGCTTGTGTATTCTTGGCCTAGTTTAGGTTTTAAGCTCGTGTTGCTTAGCGTTTCTTGACCGAGACTCAAGATTCCAAACCTTTCAACTGCGATTGAAGGTTATATCCATCAAAATTCATATCATGAGTACTTTTTTCAATTTCTCCTAAAACTCCGCACATTGAGAAATGAAGCAAGCATTTAAAAACAGTGGGAATATAGATACATGCTGGTAATACAATGCATGGTTGACTTGATCATTCATATATATATTTCCTCTATTTTTAATACTTACAACACATATTTTTAGCGGAGTATTGTGAGTATTAATAGAAAATCGAGGAAGCATATACACTTTGGTTTTTTATTTGGTATATGGATATGAATATATATATTATACATAATTTTGACCTATTTAAACTTACTCTTGCTTCTTAGTGAAATTTTCATGAATAATAAATTGGATATAGACCATATAGTATGTAAATGTCACGGTACAAGACAAGTATCCCACGGTTCTCGTGTACACGTGAAGCAATGGCATGGAAATGGGGTGATGTGTGCCCTAAGCTAACAAAGTAATTGCAATATTTCAACTAGCTAAGCTAAGGTGGTACCACGACTCATATAATATAGTGAGTGCCAAGCTGGAATTTATTAGCAATGACAACGAACTATGAATTCTAAATCAACGTAATTTTTACTCTTAATTAGTCATCATCGTACTACAATAAGTCTATATATCTTATCCTTAAAAGTTTAATTATAATCATTATTATCATATTATTTCGGTATTAAATTAATTGTTAATGTAGTGAATGGAGGCTAATAATTAATGTATCAATTTTTAATTTTAAGTCACAAGGTATATTTGCTTATGACTGCCCCAAGCCGTTAGATAACTAATTAATACTCCGTATAAATTACTTAAAACAGTGCAATACTAAGTTCGGAATGTATGCCAAAATCATGCATAGTTCAGTATGATGTAATTAATGTTGATTTTACTTTGACATTTTCACTTTTAGTTCTTTTATCTAATGCCCCGATGGGTGGTCGATATAAAGTAGTAATCCAAAGTCCCAAGATAATAAACTTCACAATTCTATTTCAAATTTAAACTATATAACAAATACTACAATAGGCCATGTTCACTTCACCTTAAAAAAATAATAATGGATAAAAATTATTATAGATTAGTAAAAACAAGTTTAGTTTAGTAAATATAATTTCACTTTAGTAAAAATAAGTTCAGTTCAGTAAAAATCAGTAACCTTGAAGAAAAAAAATATAATAAGAAATCATTAAAAAAATTTAGTTCAATATAAATAATTTCAATTCAACAAAAAATAAGGTAAATTGAACATGACTTTATTGTTTTGATCTCTCTATTTTCATTCCATTGTTAATGACAACACACATTTTTAAGAAAAAATTCTTAAATAAAATCATTAAAATGGTAGTTTATATGAAGATTGCAGATTACCACTTTATAAATTCTTCATGGCAACGTAGTATAATATATATGAATAGTAATAAAAACTTTCTATAGCAAGTATTTTCTGGACAATTATGCAAGTAATTATGACAACATTGCCATTTATAGTATAAGTAACATTATTTTCATAATTGTGTTTCCCTATTAATAGGCTAACCTATACTTTGTTTGTTTATTGTCCTTTTTTTTATAATGACGAGTTGTAGTTTTTTGATAGGCACAGCATATCAAGAATCATAAATAATGGATTGCGCAAAGTTTTGAAGGAGCTGAAAAACATCACACAAAACAACTCTCAAAGATCATGAGAATTAAATGTTAATAATATAAGAGAAAAAAAAAAAGGATGAAGACCAATATTTATTGAATTTGAAAGATTTGTTTTATATGTTTTGTGAATGTAGTTGTTATGACTTTAGGTCTTTATCAATTAGAAGGAGACATATACTAACTACATTCTCAAAGGGCCCTCACTAGGCCAAAGCCAATGGTTACCATTTCATAACTTTTCCATGTATTAATTAGCACCATTCGCTATTAGTTTGTATTCATACTAGCAACAAAGTCAAAGATTTATGATAGGAATAGTGGATGGGAAGCACAACTAATGAACAAGCTTATATGTACAAATTAAAGGCATAAAAATAAAAGATAACTATAAACATGATTTTTATATGGAAAAACATTTTCCAATATATTAGAGGTTAAAATGTAAAAGATCGAGCGAGGAGATTTTAGTATTTTTACACTTTTGCCTCCCTCACAAAAAGAAATTATGGCTCTATTCGGCAAGAATAGTGATAACTACATATATACTCAAGTTGTTGGATCCGAACGACACTCTGGATTATTATTATTTTTTTTTTTTTTGAGGAAAGACACTCTGAATTATTACATGTGTAAAAATAATTGTGTATAAATTCATTATTCAATTCTATTAATTTCATTGATCGATTTATTAATTATGTGTTGTGCATTTACTTATTTCTTTGTTGTAAAAGACACATAGTACGACGTAGTTTAATGATTAACTTAACCTTTGAATAATGTTCATCATTGATGAGGTCAAGAGTTCTATTCTTATAGAAGTCATACATATTTCTCAATTTTTAATGTATGATGATATGAAATGATAATGAACGAAGGAGCGAGATCGGAAGAGTGACACGTGTTGGACTTATTTTGGAATATTTTATATGTATATATATAGATTATAAAT